GCGAAGGCAGATTTGGGATCAGCGTTTCAAGCTCTATAAGGTGTACATCTCAAAACAAAAAGCCACTTCGACCAACCTTCCTTTCCTTGTAAGTAATGATATCCCCAGTTTTTGTGGACGCATTTGGAAGGCTACTGATGTGCACACTTTGGTGGTGCCAGCAAAATTCGTGTAATATAAGAATTTTAGGAGGTCAGAACTGCGCCAGGACCTGCACTGATCTATCGTACTATTGGAGGCAATCTCGATATGTATTTCTTCCCAGGTCCTACTCCAGATGAAGTTACGCAACAATATCTTGCATTAGTCGGAAGGCCTTTCCTGCCAGCTTACTGGGGGCTGGGCTTCCAGGTAACTTTGATATGAAAATTGCAAAAGTTGGTCTTCGAGTATCACCTTAGATATCACGTTATGGCTATAAGGATCTGGATGAGCTGATAAATGTAACCGAAAGAAATGTGGCAGCAGGCATTCCTCTAGATACAACAGTGGCAGACATAGATTACATGGACAGGTACAAAGACTTTACTACTGGAGAGGTACGTTTTCCAGTCAGTGTATCTTTTTCAGAGGTTTTTGATCGATTAGACAGATTTCTACGCTATTTACAAAATTCTGTAATATTACAAATATTTTGCTGAATTTCGTTTTGATGAAAAAGAAAAAAATTAAGCATTCGCTAACATTACATTGTATCTTGAAAACAAAAGCTTAGTGTGTGATTAATCAAAGCAGAAAGGGAAAAGATTTTACTCTAAAAGAACCTGATCTTTTCCTTACATTACAACGCTACATCATACAACATATCTCAAAATCTCAAAAAATGTGCACACTGTTTGATCTTTATTCTCTACTGCTTCAATATCAATCTTTGAGTACCATGTAGAGCTGTTTTTAATTGAGGTTTACAGTAGGGAGCGAATCTCTGATTGTCCGCCGTTACTGTATCGTTACACTAAGAACTTTTAAAAGGGTTTTGAGCCGTTGAGAGTCGTATTCAGTCAAGAAACTTTCAAACTAGGCCAATCAGATACAGATATGAAATTTAGTGGGTCAAAGTCTTGGAAGATAAAGATGAAGATAAATGTCGAATGTACCCCCAAAATTTTTTTGGAGGGCATCACTAAGGCAACACCCTTTAGGAAGATTTTTTGAAGTTTCTTTTTCATCTCCTTACCCCTCTTCCAAAGCTCTGGAACCGTCACCGTAGCTACAGTCTGCTCCAATCCCAAAGGCCAAAATTGGCATGGCGAGAGTCCGTGTCGCGAGG